TTTTATGTTCGTTTTTTAATGTGTTATTGTTAACGGATATTAACTTTTGGAGCGTGCAGTTACAACGCTAAGGTTGACGTTTTTTGTCGTTTTTTTTTTTGAAAATTTAAGAGATTGCGTTTTTTAATAATATGGCAATTTGAGAAATTTTTTTTGTTGTAGGAGTTTAATAATCTACTTTTTTGCATAAATGATTCATTGTCACATATATATATATATATATATATATATATATACATATATATATATATATATATATATATATATATATATATAATTGTATATTTAGGCAGCAATCCTTCGTTTATGCATGATTCATTAAAAACGACATACAATGTACTACGGTTAAGCTTTTTTATTTAATTTTTCTTGTGTTCGAAAAAGAGCTTTCTTTTCTTGATTTTTTTCGGAATTATAAAACATTTGTACAGTTTTACACACTCTTTGTCCAGAAAAGAAAGCTTCGAACACAAGAAAAAAATAAATAAAAAGCTTAACCGTAGTACCTTGTCTGTTGTTTTTTAATGAAACATATATATATATATAAGTTAATGAAATGTTTGGCATAGGTAATTCCAAAGAGGATGAAGATGTAATCCAGAAAGCTCAATGTATCAAAAAAGGAAATATTATTTAATTAAATAAATTAATTAAATTGAGAAAGCGTCAACCTTAAGGTTCCATGACTATAATTTATTTCCCCAGAAAATATATATTTTCCTGGTTCATCAGGTCACATCTTTTGTTACAAAGGAATTTAGTTTTATTTATTTTTAATACATGCTTTTGAGGTACAGTTTTAGGTAAGGTGACAAAGGTGTGGGAGTGGGAATGATGTAAATTAGAAATGGAAGGCAGGGATAACGTTGTGTTTATATCCATCTTTATAAAGTTACGTAGGTTCAAGTTTACTCAGTCAAGATGCCAGGCTTTTGACCTCTTAAATAAGTGTTTAGAAAGGAAAAGGAAAGAAGAAAGAAGAGGACAAATTGAAAAGCAGGGTAGGAAAAAAAAGGAGGAAGATGAAAGAAGAAAGAAAGAGTGAATTATCATATGTAGGTATATCGCAGTGACACTCGAAAAACACACAGCAATACAATTTATAGTTAACACATAACAAATTATTAAGGATTAGCACCAAAGGAGGAATAAAATAAAATAAAATATATTAATAATATTTTTAATATTATTATTAATCTTGATTAATAATATTATTAATCTTGATTAATACAATTTGTAGTTAACGTAGTTCAATATATTAAAGAGTATTTTCAAAATAAGAATAATAAAGTTTATAAATTAAAAAAGGAAATGTATAAAATTGATAATATTATTAATAACAAATATTATATAAAGGTTAAAAAATAAATTTAAATTTGAAATTTGAAATTCTAAAAATATAAAATTTATAAATGCTACAGAAAAAAAATACAATATCTAATATTAATATTAATATTAATCATATTACTTACTAATATTTCTACTAATACTACTATTTATAGTAGTAATACTACTAATAGTACTAATACTACTAATAATATTAATATTTATTTATATAAAAGCACCAGGAACCTACATTTACCCGTTGAACCCTGGCCACCGCTTGACCGGTGGTGGAGTAAAATGTCTTAAGTCATTTTACGTTACCAAATATGGCAACAAAGATGTGGAAAAGTAAAGAAACAATAACAAACAAAAGAAGTGGGTCATATATTGATTACCATAAAATGGTAATATATTGATTACCATAAAATGGTAATATATTGATTACCATAAAATGGTAATGTAATAATACAGTCTGCATACATAGGAAAAATGATATTTCAAGAAAGGAAATTTTCAAAATCATTTTGTTGAAATGGAATTTTAACAAATAACATCTCCAGTATAATTTCTATTATATGTGATGCAAAGGTTGATGCGCTTTTCAAGATTCAGGTAAATTCGATGCAGTAACTGCACTCTTTATGCGTTCAATCAAGTGTGTTGCATTTGTTATTTTCATTGAGTACACCTTCACCTTTAGCATACTCCAGAGAAAGAAGTCAATTCTTTCTTCTTTCGACAAAACCATGTTTGATCTGTGGAGGTAAAAAACAATATACTTATTGAGATTTCTTACGTATCCAGACTTTAGGGGTACCCTTTTTTTAGGGGTACCCTGCCTAACAAATAAAACAATGATTAAAAGCAACAAACCAGGCTTATCTGTTATCTCTCCTCACATCAAAACTCACGTAGAAAAATGTTCACAACAAGAAAAATATATAAAATATATACAATCCCAGACAAAAGGTTAATTGTTTATAAGCCCACCAAACACTTTTTTGTCTTACAGAGAAATGGCGAGTATGATTTGATTTACACTGATACCAACTCTTTCAAATGATAATCGGTATTATTCCGAGTCAGCAAAGAGACATATCGGACTATAAGAACGAGTTATAAGACCGGGCACACTGGTAGATTTTATTTAACGACAGGAAAAAGAAATTACCTGTGAAAGTTTTATTGAAAAAAAATATCCAAATTTAAATAATCAAGATAAATAACTCAGGTAATAAATTGTAATTAGGACAGCGGAATTTAATTATATGATTTGAATTCTTCTAACCAAAATTGGTGGCATTGCCATCGTTATCAGAAAATTTCTTGGTTATGTTAAAAAGACCTACACTTATTTTGAGCACTACGAAAAGGCACACTTTCCTTAAAATATTAAAATATAAAATGTGGAGAAAAGTATTCAGTACACACACTAAAATACATTAGTTGCATCTCCACAAACACTACAGTTCAAAAGTTGGAAGAAACCCCCACATTTAGTATAGTAGAAACTTGAGAGAAGAGTGAAAAAAATATAACAACTCTTAGAGTCGTTGAAAAAAAAAATGGAATGGATTAGCAACCTGATACTTTGAGAAACTTTCGCAAAGAATTAAAAAAAAAATTTGTGCTGCAGTAATCAAGGCTAAAGTAGGATATTTTGACGAGAGAAAAATTTATTCATAAAATGCTTTCTTTCTTTTTGTCATAATAAAATTTCTAATAAAAAATCATTTCACACTTTTTTCAGTATGTATAATAATTTTCTCTTACTTAAAGTACAAAACAACTACGTTTGGGCCGATTTAAAAAAATACAAGGGGGGTTGCTCAAACCATTGAACTGTAGCGTATATTTATCTCATAAGTACATCACATATAGCTTTCATTTTGATAGTATTCAATAAAAAAAAAACGGTTATATTTATAAGGAACTAAGAGTAGTAGTGATAATTTCATGGTTTTCTGCTTCGGATACACAGATGAATAATAATCCTTAAGTTAATGATTGAAAAGGATCCTTCCAAGTTATTCAGATATAAAATGTCTGTAGTAATTCCCTTATTGCAAAGTTAAATCTTTGTACTTAAAAACATAAAAAATATTTGAATAACAATCATAATGTGAATACTGGCTATTATTTAATATTGTAAGTGGGTACAAATGAAAAGAGGCAAATTTCTCGAAAATAATACACATTTTTACTGTAAATTACAGGTAATACTAGAGGTGCATATTATAAATAGGTTTAAACAAAAATATTTTTTCGTTATTGATTTATAATAATAAATACGTACTTGTTGTTCTGAAATAAAAAAAAGGTTATCCCAATTTTCATTTTAAATTCAACTATAATAATTGTAAACAAAATATGTCAATACATTTATGTTTATCAATAAACGCATTTTTTACTTGGCGAAAAAATAAATCTTAGCTGAATAACAAAATGCTGAAAATTCAAAATCTTATCTTCGTAGTCATCAGGCAAAGGCTGGACTATGGATGTTCTAATACATATATCAAATCTCTTCATGAAAAGAAAATAGTTTGCTGAAGTTCCTTTGCCTTCATCTTTATTTCCACAATACTTATGGAACATCCACTTGATCGTCTCCCTTTCACAAATTCAACTAAACTTTCTTCCATATCTGCATACTGAGTTTTTCTTCCTTTACTTATAGCTTTGGCACTAGATTTACACTATTTTAATTCATTTTTATTCTTTCTCCATAAACGTATGTTAGCCTCATTCAACTCATATTCTCTAACTGCAGATCTGTTTCCTATTCTTTCTGCTAAATCTATGTTTGAAATTTGCACTATAATTCGCGCGTTGTGACGACATTTTGGCGGTAAAATAAAATGTTATATTTATCGGGAAAACCGCTGGTAATTTTCAACATTATTTTAACCGCTTAGTTTTGATTTTATTCTTAATGTCGAGGTAGATAAAAATGTCTTCGTAATTACTTGTTTGTTTTTTTGTTTTTTGACAAAATTTATAGATGCTTATTATACATAGGGTTAGATATATTTCTTAATTTTTGGATCATTTGTTGGGGTGCGTATTATTTATAAGTGCGTATTATTTTCAAGAAATTACGGTATTTCGTACAGAAGAATTGGCTTCTCTTTTTTAATTTGTTTTAATTTGTCTTTATTTTTTCATATTATTATGGAAACTTTATAAGCGCACATTAGGTGTGGTACAATGCCGAAAGTATGGGGAACCCGGTAAGGTTCAAGCTTCAGTCGTAACTGATCAAGAGAGACAAGCTCGTTAACCGACTCATCGAAGTGTCTTCCTCCTAATATTATGTATATTTCCTTTTTTCTGACTAAAACCACACACCGTTTTTAATATAACTTATCCTTCCGTGTCGTCTCATAATCAAAACAGAATAGCCCGTTATAAGGTAGTGGCAGAGCGTAACGGTCGTGCTAAATAACTTAATAACGAAACAAGGGAAACGTAGAATACAAATATTAGATACTCGTCTCTATATTCTGTCTTTGGAACATTTGGGAATCTATATCGGCTAACTCATGCATTCTTATTCAAAAAGGAAACAAAGTTTAATTCATAGGTTTCTGAGCCGAAAATATTATTTAATTAAATCAATTTGTTTATATATCGAAATCCGAAAATAAGATCTAGTGGACATTAACACCGAAATGTCCCAACGAGACATGTTTTCTTTTGCTTTCTGCAGTCGTCGTATCCTTGCGGACCTGGATGATGGTTCTTTTCTACGACATCCTATTCCTCGGAGATATAAGGAAAGCCTATCGGCTTTCTATCTCTCGCAAGTGCGTGTTCAGCCATGCATTTTCAAGACCCTTGGATGCCTCGAGGTGGTGTAATGGTTAGCAAGCTTGTCTCGCTAAAATAATTACGAATGAGTAGTGAGTTCGATCCTCACTGGGTGCCCCTCACTTTCGGCCTTGTGCCACGTCCAAGATACGCTTGGAAAATCATTTGGGCACCTCGGCGTGGTGTAATGTTTAGCAAGCCTGGCTTGCTAGATCAGTTACTACTGTGTAGTGAGTTCGATCCTCACTGGATACTCCATACTTTCGGCCTTGTGCCACATCTAATCTACGCTTGGAAAATCTAAAAGGGGCGCCTAGAGGCGGTGTAATGGTTAGCAAGCTTGTCTCGCTAAAACATTACGAATGAGTAGTGAGTTCGATCCACACTGGGTGCCCCTCACTTTCGGCCTTGTGCCGCATCTAAGCCACGCTTGGAAAATCTAGGGCACCTCGGCGTGGTGTCATGGTTAGCAAGCTTGGCTTGCTAGATCAGTCACTACTGAAAAGTGAGTTCGATCCTCACTGGATGCCCCATACTTTCGGACTTGTGCTACGCTTGGAAAATCCCTACAATTTCAAGACACTTAAGTAATCTACACACTGTTTTTTGTCTGTCCCTTTGGCTTTCAAAATCTATTGTGCGTTTCAAATTCACCAAACCTTCTTTTCTCATTATGTGTCCCAGAAACTTCAACTATCTTTTCTCTATTCTAAGCCCAAGTGCCGTCTTTATTTGTATTTTATTTAAAACTGAGTGTAGAGCAATTGACTATGGTTAACTTTTATTTGGCGGAAATGCCCAACAAAAAGAAGTGACAAAGTTTGCAATAAACAACAAAAGAAAGAACATAACAGGGAAAAAATAATAATAATATGTAAGCAATATATGCAACGCAAAACTAGTTAAACATTTAACAAACTAAGAATGCTGTTAATACACAAAAGGGACAAGCTATAACATCGATCTGGCTTCAAAGAATATAAATGTATCAGGTGAGAGCAAGAAGTGGCCTATCGTATTGGCTAAGAAGTAACCCCAGTATGTTTTATCTATAAATTTGGGAAGGGTCATGGTTTTTGCAGTCATTCCAATGAACAAAGATTATTTTCTCAGACCCCGACTCCCCGTGAAAATGTGACATTGTGATCCTTGGGTTTTTATGCTAATTGCGTCAATTATTAGAGTGAATGGTTCGCGACTCAGATTACCTAGGAGAAAGATAGACAGTGTCGACCGGCATTTCCCATATACCTATTCGGCCTTGTGCCCCAAAACAATATGATTTTTTTTAAATAAACGTTCTAATAACGATTTTGTTCTCACGTCTTCCATCTAGGATGGTATTAATATCCTTTTGTAGAACTACATCTCTTATCTCAAGCCACTGTTTCATCTGTGAAGATTTTTTCCAGTTTTTATTTCCATATAGGGGAATTGATATTAGATAGCATTTAAATATTCGTTTCGTTTTTTTTTAATTATCAAGTTTAACTGAATCTTGCCTGATTAAAACGACCTCAGTTTATTCGTATTTCTCCACGTCTGCCTGTCTGTCTATCTGTCTGTCTGTCTGTCTGTCTCTCTCTCTCTCTCTCTCTCTCTCTCTCTCTATCTATCTATCTATCTATCTATCTCTTATCGATATATTTATATATCTATTTCAGACTATTCGTATCTATCACTATGTATCTCAGTTTATTTCAATCGATGTCTATCAGAGTTTATTCTTTGTCACTCTATCTCAGTTTATTCCTGTTTGCATATCTATCTATCTATCTATCTATCTATCTATCTATCTATCTATCTATCTATCTCAGTTTATTCTTATCTATCTATCTATCTATCTATCTATCTCTGTTTATTCTTATCTATCTATCTATCTATCTATCTATCTATCTCTGTTTATTCTTATCTATCTATCTATCTATGTTTATTCCTATCTATCTATCTATCTATCTATCTATGTTTATTCCTATCTATCTATCTATCTATCTATCTATCTATCTATGTTTATTCCTATCTATCTATCTATCTATCTTTGTTTATCCCTATCTATCTATCTATCTATCTATCTATCTATCTATCTATCTATCTATCTATCTATCTCTGTTTATTCTTATCTATCTATCTATCTATCTATGTTTATTCCTATCTATCTATCTATCTATCTATCTATCTCTGTTTATTCTTATCTATCTATGTTTATTCCTATCTATCTATCTATCTATCTATCTATCTATCTATCTATCTATCTATCTATCTTAGGTAACCTTTTCATTATCTATCTATCTATCTATCTATCCTGGCTCTTCTTCTATAAATCTCTCGTTGCTGAATTACATGGATGTTATCTTCAAGTGACAGGATAAACGATCGAACCCTGATGAAAACAAGTGTTTAAATGTAACTTTCGAGCAAAGTTAACTCTCTTCACTTGAAGGATTGGTGCTACATAATCTTCTTTACGTTTCATCACATTGTCTTCATACTATATTCATTTAATGACTATCGGAAATAGCGTCAACATTCCCATGTACCCACATCTATATACATCAACCTACTTCTACATACATCTACTATCATCTGCACCCCACACAAAGTCATGTACAAGCGCGTGTGTGTGTCTGTATGTGCGTGTGTGTCTGTCTGTGTGTGTGTCTGTGTGTGTGTGTGTGTGTGTGTGTGTGTGTGTGTGTGTGTGTGTGTTTATGACTTTCTTCTCAATCATCGGTCTCTACCGTTTTGCCTCTGACTACATCTTCGGTTCTAATCTTTCAAATCCATTCGCTTCTTCGCACTGATCAGCAATACAAAGAAGCCATTATTTATTATCGATCCGTGCAGTTGGGGGGTCGGGCGCTTACAATTTCAGGTCATCCATCTTTTAAAGACGAATGATCTTAGCATGTACTCTGGGCTGTTTTTGTACTCTTCAAACGCCTCTGGACGGCCGTGGCTAGCAGATCACTAAGGTGATCATAGATGTGTCGAAATAGCTCGGCGTCATTTTTTTTTTTTCTTTGGCGGGGAGCGGCGGTGGGCGTAAGCTTTGGAAAGGTTGAAAATCTAACGAAACTGACATCAGAGACGATGAAAAAAAAAAACAAAAACAAGCAAAAAAAAAACAAAAAAAGCAAAAAAAACAACAAAAAACAAAAACAAAGAAGCGAGACGAGATAGGAAATAAACCGAATGATTCCTTGGGTATTTTTTCTGCCTGTGGCCAAAACAAAACTTTTACATAACCTGAACATAAACAACGCTCACAGACACACATATAAATAAACACACACACACACACACACACACATATATATATATATATATATATATATATATATATATATATGTATGTATGTATGCATGCAAAGCGGGCACTGAGATCAACATCGAACGTCAGCATTCTGTTTCCTGCTTGAACGCAATTGTCATGACCTGAAGATTGCGTTCAACCATGAACTACAATGTCGCAGCTTGCTGTTGATCTCAGTGTCCGCTTTTATTGAGCAATTACACCCATAAATATAGTACACCTTTAAAATAATTTTATTATATGTATATGATAACACACATAAACACACACACACACACACACACACACACACACACACACACATATATATATATATATATATATATATATATATGAAATGAGAAAGAATCGACTATAAATTCCAACGTATTAATTTAAAAGCAGGATCAATCCAATCCAATAGAACGTTATAATTTATTATACGATATAAAAAGAAAAGAGACTTTAACTTGAGTTTTTCTTTCTTGCTCTTTTTTCTTTTCTTCCCTTTCGCATGAAAAGACGTTGTATGTGTTTGAAATCCTAATAAATTGTACTAACGCCTGACGACTCATGTTTATATACGTCGAAATATGAGTGCATTTGTGTACCGTCCATCAGCATGTTTGAATGTATGGGAGGATCCTCTCTGGCCGGAGGCAGAGAATTTGCCCACACAGCTGGAGACGAATCTCCGACTGCAAAATATCTACCAACAGTCCCACAAGGCTGAATTTAATGTGGGGTATCCGAGCCCGTAGAGTCGGTCAAAAATTCCACGTAGACCCCGTAAAAAATAGGATCGGGTAGCTGTTTCCCGCGACGAGACTCTGCCCTTCGACATAGCCTCGTCTGGAGAGGCAGAGAGTTTGACCAGCATAGCTGGAGACGAGTCTCCAACTGCAGGATATCTACCAACCGACCCACACGGTCAGCTGTGGCACAAGGTAGGACACATGGCACAGTGGATAAAGGCGTTGGTTAGATCCAGTGACAAGACCCAAAGAGTGTGAGTTCAATACACGGTTAAGGTACTGGAGAACTTGGAGAGGGGAATTAACAGGAGACAACTGACATAAAATTTGAAGTTAAACTGAAGATTTTTACTGTGGTACAATATTTTATTACAGCGATAAACGCAAGAGTTATATTGAATCAATTTCTAAACAAAAGAAAAGAATCTGTCTATATTTCTGAGATGAGGTATTATATACACTATTTACATTATTCGGACTATTGTCCTCATCTTTGTCGTCATATTTATTACGACATTTCGGCTTATAATACCCAGAAATTCATACACAGATGTCCTCAGGGGCACATGACACAGTGGATAAAGATGTTAGTACCAGTGGATAAAGGCGTTAGAACCAGTTAGAACCAAACGAGTGTGAGTTCAATACCCGGTTAAGGCAGTGGAAAACTTGGAGAGGTGTATTAACAGGAGATAACTGACATCCATTAAACATGGCACGTGGAACTTGAACAGTCTACCCCAGTGAGTGAAATATAAGCCGAAACGTTGTAATAAATATGGCGACAAAGATGAGGAAAATAGTTCGAATAATGTAAATAATGATAACGATATATTTATGCGAACGTGTAAGTGTGTAGTTGTACAGGAGTGTCAATGTTTGAAGAGTGAGTGTCTATGATTGTTTTAATACGAAATATTCACTTATTGATTATTAATCATTCTTCTTAGATAAAAAGAACTTGAGATTTTCTGAAACAGTTGCTTCACTCTGTCGTGCAAGACAATTTTCTCTGCAGAATCTATCTTACATATCTATAAGTCTATCTTTCGTCCATGCTTTGAATATTGCTTCCATATCTGGTGAACCTGCTATATATTTAGAGAATCTTGATAAAAATCCGACGAAGAATCCGCAATTAACTGACATAGCATCTTAGTTTCACTCCCTTTCCCACAGATGTAGCTTCCCAGGGACATTTCTATAAATACTTTCATGGTAATTATTCTAATGACCTTTCTGTTGTAGTACCTAGACTTTACGAATTTAAGTGCAGTACTAGATTAATAACAAGGTCTCATCAATTTGTATTTGAATTGGCTATATGCAAGTGTAAGAGTTTCTTCGCTTGCACTCTTCCGGTTCAGGACATTCCAATCAACTTTGATCTTCAAAAAGTTAAATACAATATCAATCGTTATCTTCTGTGTTCTTGGTTACTCTGGTTTTGTTGTTCTCAATCATTTATAATCTTTCTATTTTTCTTAATCTTTCAAAATCAGTAACCCGTTCTGTCTTCGTCGCTTTACTGTCTTGCTTGGGTTGAAATGATTTAAAAATAATCTCCTCCAGTGAACGTTCATTGTACTTTCCCGCCAGATGCAATACGTTTAAAATTATTCGAAAAACAAAAATATATTGAAATCAAACGACTCTGTTCATTGCTCTAACAGAAGTAGCTGCTTTCGACTGTGCTCATTTGATAAAGAGCGTCCTGGGTATGACGATAAACTACATCCGCGTCCAGGATAAGACGATAAACTACGTCCAACAGCATGGCCTCTGATAAGGCTGTCGTTGAGGAGCGTGGAACCATCTTTTAATAATACTGGTGTTTCCAGCTTCACCATGACCCGGGGTGGTAGCACCTGTTAGGGTCCCATCTATAGTCAAATAGTTAACCCCGAAACTGAGGTAAAAAGCATTATAAAAGGGTAAAAATAGGTTCTAATATCAGAAATGCTTAGTAAAAAATTATTAGAGAAATTAATTCTTTAAGAAAAAAATTATTACCAGCAATACGTTTTTGAAAAAATAATATTACCAACAATACATGTGATTGTACTCAAAAATATGAGTAATTGAAAAATGGTTCAAATATATATATATATATATATATATATATATATATATATATATATATATATATATATATATATATAAATAAAAAGAAAGAACAGTAAGATATATAATCCGGTGTTCTTATAGATATTTTTATTTTTACAAAATAGTGCTCATGGTTAAAACTGTGTAGCGAAAAAAAAACATATTTTAAATCAATTAATTAATATATATATATATATATATATATATATATATATATATATATATATATATATATATATATATATATATATATATTTTTTTTACCAATCCATCGCTATGAATCTATTTAAAAAAATTAGCATTAAATGAGTTTGATACGCCATACAACAAAACAACCAGCCAACATTTGATAAAAAAAATCGAACATTATCTCTCGTTAATCGTTACATTAATTGATAATATGAAAAATCCAATTTGATTTCTTCTTTGAAATATGACATGTCGACTATCGTCAAAGCAAAAATAGATTTTTTTTTCTTAACATAGTAACCTATTTACAGTGCCTGCTATTAAAAGGACAAAGACATGGTTATTTCGTAACGTTTATACATTATATTACAACTATTTGTAGAGTTAATGCAGTTTAAGAAATATTTAATTGGAAAATGATGTCTGAATATTTATGTTGTTTAACTGGGCAAATATTATTTAACTTAGCTTCATTCTTTATCGTAAAGGATGTGGTCGGCCATAGCCATCCACAACTTCTTCTCTTCCTTGCCCCTTAGGCGCCTTTTTTATTAAAAAAATAAAAAATGTTCCCTTTGTACTTTCCGCCATCTATTCAGAAAAGCATATCAGGCACGTTTTCTGCTATTTTCCCATAACTTTCTTGCACTCTAAATAGCGAAAAAAAATAGCCCTCCTTCTTCATAATTTCGTCCAAGAAATTCCAACGGATTCTGAAAAAAAGTGTTCTTTTTGTTACCATTTTCCTTCAGACTTCCTCGGTGCTTCATCGCTCCGTCCATAGAATAAACGGAATCATTCTTGCTGAACGACATTTCTGTTGCCTTCAATTTCCTCTTCAGCTGTGATTGTCCACCATTGCCTGCTATGCAAAACACAATAGAAATTCAGAACACTTTTATTTTTTTCTAACGAAGTCTTCCTCTTTCTTAATACGAGACCTTGTTTACGTTTTTGGGATATATTCTTCGATAATTCTATGGGCGTTAGGATTTCGCTGTCCCTTTTTTCATCCACTATTAAAACA